AAAACAAGTGACACAGGTGCATTGTTGTGAGAAGTTAAGCGTCGGTAGCGGAGTAAACGAGTAAAGTGAACGAGTGAAAAGTGATTCTGGAGAATTTAAACAGTGCAAATTAAGTGAAATGGAGCAGGACCAGGTGCCGGAGAGAAGGAGTACCTTCTCTAACTTGAAGATAGTGCAAGGGAAGACTGGGGAAGAGAGGAAAATTTTGCAAGCCAGGGTGGAAGCCAGGGTAACTCCTACTAAGCCAGTAGATCCCAAGGAACTAGAGGAAAAAGTGCAAAGGATAAAAGAGAAGTTTCGCAAGGATGAAGAGCAGAGGCAGGTGATCATTATGAAGAAGGCACCCGCAGCAAAACAATTAAGAAGGAAGTTGGCGCCTGAAGCAGCAGCATCCCCAGCAAAGATAAGTAGGATGGAAATGGTGTTAGAGAGGGCTGATCAAGACAAGGAAAGGAAGGCAAGACGAGCAAAGGAACTGGCGGAGACAGGAATGAATTGGATGGAGATGGTAGAGGAGGAAGAAAAAGGAGCAACCGAAGAAACCATGGAAGTTGAAGGGACCGAACATGTGTGCATGCCAGGGGAATGCGAGGTAGTTTTAAACACGGAAAAATTACCCTCAAGTTCAAGCTCTAGCTCTAGTTCCAGTTCCAGTTCAAGCTCAAGCTCAAGTTCAAGTTCTTCTAGTGAAAGTGAAAGTGAGAGTGAGACGGAAGAGGAAGGTGAAGCAAAAATGAGTGGCTTTGAAAAGGAGTTGCAAGACCTACAGGAAATAATGGAGACAACGGAGTACAACGAGAAAGAAATAGATGACAAGATAAGAAAGGAAGAGGAGGAGATCACAAAAATAACAGAGAAACTACAAGAACTGAACAAGAGCAAGTGGAAGTTACATCCCATAGACGAAGACTGCCTAGCCAAGCCCACACCAAAAGCGGAGTGGATGAAGAAACTACAAGAGGAAAGAGAGAAGGAAAAGGGAGAGAAAAAGTTCCATCCAGACGACCCGGGGTTCAAGATACGGTGCAGGAGGTGCAATCAGCGAGGACATCCGACGGCAGCATGCACTGGAGAAAAGAGAAGAAAGAAGTAAAATAATATTTGTACAAGTGTTCTTTTCTGTCATAAAACCCAAATAAAAATTGTTGTATGTAACCCATAGTTATTATTTCACAAACTCCAAATCAAGTAGAGCAGGAATAATAACAGAGCTACAAAATAAAATAAAAACGTAAACAAAACAAGGATGAAAAAGATTTACTCAAGATAGATAACTCAAGCTCAAGGACCAAGCCATTATAAAACACATGAGCAGGAGGAAAAGAATGATGAAAACATGAGCAATAGTCAAAACTCCAGCAAAACTCATAACAAGAATGATGAAAACACGAGCCAGAGCCAGAGTCAAAAAAAAAAATCCAATGAGATAACTTCTTTGTAAAAAAAAAAAGCGGCAAACAAAATGAAAGTCACTGAAAACACAGAGTAAACAATTAGAAGTTAGAAAATTGCTAAGAAAATCCTGAAGAAAAGAGAGAAAGAGATAGCTAACCTCACTCCTCAGAAGGGTTAACAGGTGGAGGAGGGGGAGGTGGAACCAATGGAAAGG